TCCTATGGTATTTTGACCTCCAGTTCACATCGCAGCGTGCAGATCCAGACCGGATGAAAAAAATGCGGCAAGCCCTATTTTACCTGCTCTGGATCTGGTCTGGAACGCATCAAAAACGCATGCAAGTGCCTGAAAGCCCATGTTAAACTTAAGAAAAAATGGGGTTTTTTTTAACCAAAACCGGCCCTAAACGCATCAAAAACGCATCTAAAACGCGGCACAACCCACTACATTGCGTGTGCAAAAACCTGACCGGATCTGGTCTGCATTTGGTGTGAACAAGGCCTTACACTTGCCTCTCTGGGAGCCTGTGTCTCCTACCTTCTTTCCAGTGCTGCAGCCTCCATCATTGTTTTTGCTATTCAACACTTTTAGGAGGGTTGGGTGATTGTGCCCCACACTGCACACTGTGGTTTCACCCTCTGACTCCCCCCTTACCTCACTGCTGAGTCCTGTAGTAATATAAAAGTCAGGTGTTGAAACTACAGCACGCAGCGGTGGTACAGACACATCACTCCTGAGGTGTGCTTCACAAGTATCACTTTAATAATTTAGGCACTAGTAATTGCTAGCTGTCAAGTAATGCATTCTGTATGGTTACATCATGCTGCTTCCTCCAACTTGCAGCAGAAAGTCTTGTCTGATACCAGAATATTTTGATAGGGAAGTCTAAACTTTTTAGTTTGGTTTATCAGGTGTTATCTGATAAATGAGTATCTATGTGCAGCAGTTGCTGAGTGTGCCTTCCTTGTTTGGGTAAAATATTAAATACGTGCGCATTCCTCTAGGATTTTGTACCAACAAGCAAGTATATAATTGGAAAGGTCTGTATACAGACTCTATATTTGTACATTCCTGCAAAGCATGACATATTGCTCATCTTTCTAAGTCATATTGCACTAATTCTAGCTTTGCAGATGTTACAGTAAATGTGTTTGACTTAAAGAATAACTATCATTAAAAGTGCCTAACAAACTTTACACTAACAGAGGCTGGAGCTGTAATTATGTTTTTTTATGTACATTGTGTAGATCTTCTCACTAGAGAAATAATTAACATGATGGGGTTTATGAAAGTGTACATTCAGATTATGATTGCAGTTAAAACGTTTGAGAAAACTTTTTCCTACATATGCAAGAGCCAAATAATGGGCAAAGCAGATATTCTCAATCCTGCTCTGCCAATAGTATAAAGCTGGCCATATGGCCAAAAAAAAAACCCCTCAAGTGGGGGAATCCTCCCTGACAGGCTATTGTATTGTAAAATACTCGCACAGTGACTGTAGTAGTCACTGTTCAACCAAGATTTTTGGATCTGTTCCTTCGACAAAAGTTGATTTTGAAAGATTGACTTGTGTCCAATGGGGCGGAACGAAATGCGACTGGTGTATGGCCAGCATTACTCGGAGGCAAAAGCATCCCACCTCTCTCTGTGCTTAGCTGTCACACAGTTTAATGAAGGAATACCTCAACACCACTTAGTGAATACAATGCTTAGACATCACAGCATTCTTTCTTCCTTACACTGTTCAACAGCTAAACAGTAAGAGAAACAGGAGGTCTATTGGAGTAGAGTTAAAGTGACACTAAACTCAGGAGTTACATCTAAAAAAAGCATTCAAGTACCCTATTAACAAAAATGTTGCTTATTTATGTCTCGCTCAGCTGTAGAGCCTTACATTTTCTTAGAATTTTTGCTGACAATGTCCTTCCTTCTGGAGGGTGGCTACTTTTGTTCCTCATGGTCCCTGTGTGTTAGGTAGCCACCATTCCAAGCTGGCTCCCGTGATAGACTATAACTTCAATACAAATTAGCCAACTAAATGTGAGATTGTAGTCCATCACAGGAGTGAGCTTGAAGCGGTGGCTACTTTACAACACAGAGGGACCATGGAGAACAAAAGTAGTCACCCTCCAGAAGGAAGGACAGTGTCGGGGTGAATTCAGAGATGATTTGAGGATCTACAGCTGAGTGATACACAAATAAGATTCATTTGAGTTAATAGTTAAGGTGCTTGAATGCATTTTTATGATTTAACTCCTGAGTTTAGTGTCCCTTTTAATATGGTAGCTATGCTAAGGCCAGGTTCACACTTGCACGATCTGTGACCGTGCGGCAATCGTGCACACAAATGCGTAAATTGCTGTGCGGTCACAGAGTCGCACACCACCGCTGATCATGCTGGTGGTGCCCTCCTTTTCTAATGCCACCCCAGTTGCATGGTTTCCCACTGCGATTCCACACGTGCTATCGCACATGATCGCAGACAAAAAGAGCCGCGTGTCATGTGTTGCAAAAAAAGTACATGTGTACCTTTTTTCAACGATTGCCATGGGATGTAACTCCATTGAAATCAATGGAGCCACACGGCTGTGTGCAACTGCACATGATCACGCGTTCCCGGATCACCCAGGTCTGCACCAGCCCTTAAGAATTCTCTGGTCTTCAAAATTGGCTGTCACAGCTGTAACAGAGGGTTTGTCTGAGCCATACCTTTACTTTGAATTTGTTTTCCTGCCACTGACTGCAAAGAGTACAGTGTCAAGGCCACTGTATGTGAAAAGTATACAGTTAGCCTTCGACTATCTTTGAAATATATATCTGTTGTTAGCCTATGTTACTTTGAAACTGTTTATTGCAATACGTTTAATTAGAGTTGTCTGTTAAAGAATAACTGCACTTTTAGTACAAAACTTTCATCTGTCTTTGCAGGCTGTTCAAATATTAACTAGGGCTATGCACATTATTTGAATAGATTATAGACCCTATATCATGACCTGTTGTGCTGCTGAAGGAGCTGCCCATGGAGTTCTGCATTAGACTGAACAAGGCTCCTTTAGCATCTCAGCAGGATGTAAACTTCCTCTATTTAGTTTGTTACTTTTGCGTGTTTCTAAATGTTTACCTAAGCTGTAGATATATGGTTTAATGAGTATGTGTTTGTAATAAATTAGTAGTAGTATACTTTGTAATCTGTTGAAAGAACAATTTAGTTCAGCTTAAAAATGTGCTGTTTATATTAATATACGTACACAGTCTACCGGCATAATGCCTGTAATTTTAAACCCTGCAAGTTTGTTTTTTTGCATAGAGTGTGGAGGGATTAAAACTAGGGATGAACCGATACCACTTTTTTAAGACCGAGTGCGAGTACCGATACTTTTGATCAAGTACTCGCAGATACCAATTATCGGTACTTTTTCTTAAAGGGACAGGCCACATTTTTTCTAAAGCAATACAAACTAATGCTTTAACCACTTGCCGTCCGCCCGTTGTAAAAAAACGGACGGACGGCACTGCAGCATTGGTGGGTTGCCGTCTCCGGACGGCATTTTTTTTCTGCTCGCGCGTGCCCCCTAGCGGTCACGCACGGGCAGAAAAGACCCGACCAATGCAAACACCCGGTACCGGGTGTTTCACATATAGACGATCGGCAGATCCATAGCCCGCCGATCGTCTATATGTGCTCGTTTTTTCGAACGCCACCGCCCAGCCAAAATGTTTAACTCCCCCACCCCCACGTTTACGCAGATATAAACGTAAATGTTTTTTAAAAAGTTTTTAAATGAAAACGACAATTGCGCTACACACGTTACATATCGCCGCGAACGTCGCAGTGTGAGCAATCATTTTAGGGCCATCAATCACTGATAACACTAAACTGATGAGCGGTAAAGGCTTTTAAAGCGTCGCCTATGGCCAATTTTGGGTATTTATCAGTTTTTTGAGGTTTCGCGCACGCAATTTTAAGGCTCGACATGTTTGGTGTATTTTTACCCGACTGACCCCGTCTTTTATATTTTACTAAAAAATTGGGTAATAATAAATGTTTTATCATTTAATATAGGGGAAACAGTTTTGTTTTTTTCGGTAATTTTTCCTTAATATAGTAAAAAATAAAACCCGTAGTGGTGAATAAATACCACCAAAAGAAAGCACTATCTGTCCCTAAAAAATGGTATAAAATTAATTTCAGTACAGCGTTGCATGACGGAATAAATGTCAGTCAAAGTATCGCAGCGCTGAATACTGAAAAATGGCCTGGATGGGAAGGGGGTTTAACACCGCGGATGTCAACTGGTTAAGGTCACTTTCTTAATATTATGATTCATGAGATGACGAGGGAGCATGACACCGGCTTCCCGGCCAATCAGAATGCTGGGCGCTGCGTCATTACACGGCGCCCGGTTTCCGGATTTGCTAGCTTCCTGACCAATCGGTAAGCCGGGCAGCGCGTCATTGCATGCTACCCGGCTTCCTGATTGGCCGGGAAGTCGGCTCCATGCTCTCTCATCACAAGTGACGACAGAGCACGAAGCAGTTCCCTGCTAATCAGGAAACCGGGCAGCGTGTAATGATGCGCTGCCCGGCTTCCTGATACAGGAAGTACTCGTGCTAGGTATCGGAGCATTTGGGCAAGTACGAGTACTCACCCAAATACTCAGTATCGATACCGATACTAGTATCTGTATCGGTGCATCCCTAATTAAAACTCTTGCCAGTTTGTTTTTGTGCTATTTGTGTACCATTAGGGATATTTCCCATAGCTTCCTGTGCCAGAGATACGACAGTATATTAGAGAAAATTCTACATCTTGTCGAAGATTTCCCCTCATCTTTTGTTCTGGGGACAACTCTAAAATTGTAATCTCCCTCTTACTTTTTTTTTTTGGAGACAATGGTGGGCACCAGTACAAATAAAACAGTGAATCTCGCCAGTGGGGATACAGGCAGCATGTAAAACTAAAAATTATTGTACTGAATATTGTGTTCTAATTTTTGCACTCACGAAGATAACTATTTCTGATTATACACCATATACACAAACACTTATTGGGAAGCAAACACATATTGACTTTGAAGTGTTTTTCTGAATTAAGTGATGTAATTTAGCATCAGACAAGATAAACAATGATTTACTGAAATAGGTTTATTTTCTGCTATGCAAAAAATACTATTGAAAGAATGTGTACTAAAAGCTTTTCCGTTTCTGTTTTCTAGATGCTCCTGAAGTTTCAGTAACAGGTTACGATGGCAATTGGTTTGTTGGCCGGAAAAATGTCCAGCTGAAATGTAATGTTGATGCAAATCCACCCCCCACAGAAATAAAATGGACAAGGTAAGTTTTTAATTTCTTTTTCTTTAATCATTGTTATTTTAATAGCTGTTGGAGACAAAGGAGTGACCTTTGACCTGCATATAATACCTTTTAGTAACAGTTCCTATTTAACCCCTTATTGACACTACATTACCCTTTCCCTTTTTGCCATTTTTTGTATTTCTAGTTTGCAAAAATCATTAAAATCATTTGCAAAAATCATTAATATTTAAACTTATCTTTTATATTCATTTATTTTCAGTATCACATAAAAAAATTAGCAAAATTGGAAAAAAACACGTAGGCTGCATTCACACCAGCAGCTGTGCTTCAACACACAGTTATCCTGGCAAATCACACCGTTTACTTTTTTTTGGTTCGAAAAAAAAACAAAACTATTCCATTAAGTTCTATAACCACAGCATGATACATTGCAGTTGTACCACATCATGTGCCACTGCATGTGAACTGAGCCCAGGGCAAATTGTCTTGTGTTGGGGCTGTGCTGGAAAAAATGGTAGGCGCAGCGTCAATGCATTTGGTGTGACTCCAGCCCAAATTTTATTTGTAAATAACTTTGCAACACTGTGCCCGAATCATAGTTTTAGCATAATTATAAACTGGACAAATTATAGACTGAAATGTATACCTTTTATCTATTGTAACACTCATTGTAAATCTGAACAAAGTAGTACCAGAAAAAAATGCATTTTAGTTAGTATTTTTTTTCCACCTAATTTCATCTCTAATTTGCATACACAGCCTGGTAGTGACCTTCTGGCACATGGATTCACCTTGGTGGCTTTCTAGACCCTATTCTAGTAACAAGCAAGCCATGGAGCTCTTTCCAGGTCCTGAGACCATAGTTTCTCTCATGAGTGTTTTTTAAGCAACCACAGTCTCCTGCCATGACTTCAGATATAATTTTCTGTAAATAACACATGCAAAATGTCAAAATACAAACTTAACTTTTTGTGTATTATGAAAGCTGTATTGCATTGACGCACATTTACATGCCTTTTTGTGCATTGCGTAAAAATGCAGACATATTATGTAATGCGCCTTTATGACGTGAATAGAGGCAGGGGATCCTGAGAGACCCCAAAACGTTGCAGCAGTGTGATATGCTGTATTTACGTAATTAAATAGACGCAATTGATCTGCATTTGGAGTGCCGGTGTCCATTCTTCTTTCTATGTACATAACAGTTGCCATCCGTTGACTATCGCAGCACCCATCAAATTTTTATTGCACAAGCGGTCAGGAGGGCGATGGGTTCATGGACTTTTTTATGATGTGAATCGGGCACATCGAAAACAATTATTTTCGTGTTTCCTTATGTTAAGCCTGCATTGATTAACGCAAATCAACACAGCCCAATGACCATAGTGTGAATGAGCCATTAGAGCATGTGGAGATGTGGAGCAGATGTCTGCATTCCCAAGAAGAAGAAAAATAGGATTATTGTACTCATCCTAAAATTCTTTTCTTAGAGTCCATTGAGGGACACAGGTCCCATTCCTCTGTGTTTGGGATCATGCTTTTGGCGCTGCTTGCTACAGATTGTGGCATTAGAGTAGAGGAGGGGTTATCTTGGGCTGACGGTTATTATTATTATTATTATTATTATTTTTTGCTTACCAGTGTTCAATCCTCCTGTAGGCCACAGTATTGTCCAACAGTATATGATCTCTGATGATATCTGATGGACTTCCGAAAAAGGATTGTACGGAAAGGACAAAAATCCTACTTTGTTTGACCTAGACTACAGCTTAGCCTGTTTATCTGATTTGCTGCATGTCAACAGCAGTATCAGCTTGGTGGAATGACTCTAGCCGATTGCTTGTTTATCTGATTTATATTGCGAAGCCAATTTGTTTTAGCTTTAAACACCGTGAAATAGGACTTTTTCAATATGATGACTTCTCTTTTCAGACCACAGTATGACATTATATCAAAAATTAAATTTGCAGGAACGGATTGTTAATTGGATTTTATAATAAATCGGCTCTAATCTGATTATATGAAGCCTAAACAGAATGCTTTCTTAGAAAGTGTTTGGCCAAATGAAATCCAAGGTTTTTTTTTACATTTATTTATGAGTTATTGGATTACTATATGCCTCTGGGGCAAGTGAGTTATGATATCTACATGTTTCTAGTTTGTCTCATATATTTTTATAAAAATAGACATTTTTAAAAATCATTTCTACCGCTTTGACTCCTCAATTCAGTCAGCATTTAGAATTACACCTGTAAGTTCAACAACACATAACTAATTTAAATAGCGTTAACATCTGATTGCGCCAAACAGTGGTATGTCATGTATAGAGATTCAGTTAAGGCTTTCTGACCTACTGCTAGTAAGTTTTAAGATGCAAACACAAGTGGAAAGAATAAAGATTACTTGCCTTAGAATGATGATATTGAAATATGATGGCAGTTAGTGTATAGCTGGAGATAATGTACACTGTTTACAGATAAGACATATAAAGCTATAGAAGGAGAGGCATAGGGTTCTTCCTAGAAAGTAGTAAAGTTTTCCAACAAAAGACTGTTCCTACCACTAAAGCAACCCAATGTACCTATCTCTTTAAAAGGTACACCCCAAACTGTCGTCTTAACTACTTTCCCAAAGCATATCCCCTCATAACCATACTCCCCAATAGTTAATGAATATTTAAACCTAAGACCATATATTTAATATATTGCCACTTACTGGTTGTTCTACGTGATGGCTGCATTCCTTTTTTTAGGGGGCCAAATATATTTTTGGCAAATACAGAAAAATACCTGTGGAACCTACCAGAAATCTAGTGTTCTTGTAACACACTGTGCACTAAACAGTAGCCTTACAGAGGAGAACTGAGAAGCCCGATAGCATCTTTGACGTACATAAAACGCTCAATTTTTTTTATAAAGATGAGGAGAGGGGGAAATGTTTGTAGTTCAAATCAGAGGAGCAGCGCAGGTTGACAGTGCTGCTCCTCAATAGATACCGTGTTTCCCCGAAAATAAGACACTGCCTTATATTTTATTTTGGCTCAAAAAAACACACTAGGTCTTATTTTCAGGGTAGGTTTTATTAAATGTTTTTAATGTACAACAATCCACACTTATTCATGTACAAAAATATACCGTACATTTATTCAAATAGGAATAGGGTGATCAGGGCAATCAGGGGTGCCGTACCTTTTTCAAGAGCAATCTTGTAACCAATCCCTGGCCAGAATGAGCTAAGCACGCTTTCACTATCGATTCCTCACAGGCGGAGTGCATTTGGTATCACTCCGCCTGTGACAGGAGCCGGCGCTATAGAGGAGGCATCGGTTTATGCGGCTCTGCTCCCTCCACTGCCGCCTCGCTTCCTCTAGCGATGGCTTTGTTGGCACTGCTGATTCTCTCCCGCGGCTCTTTAAGTTCTCCCTTATGGCACCACCGGCCCTGGGAATGATCACAACTAGGTCTTACTTTCGGGGTAGGTCTTATATTTTAGCAATTCCCAAAAATAGTACTAGGTCTTAGCTCCGGGAAACACTGTACAGTAGGGTGACTGAACGTTGTAATCCTACTGTGGGAAGTGTGTTACTGGCAGGAGCACCAGGTGAAAATAAAGATGGAAAACTAATGCAGCCACCACATCTAACAACTGGTAAGCAACAGTATATTAAAAAAAAAATGTTCTTGGATTTTGATCTTTAACCCTTATTGGGTTGCATAGGTCATTAAGGATGCAAGTTTTCTGGATGACTGTCAGGGACCCAGGGGGGCCGTTCCTCACCAGGCGCATGGGCTCCTCCTCCAGGCAGGGCATCTGTCGCTGGTGTGGCCGGTGCGCATGCGCAAGCCGCGCGCATGCCCGGAAACGGGCGCATAGTGCACCTGCACCATCCCACATTCCAGGTGCTACTCAGGCTGGGGGAGGACTCCAGCATTCACCAACTGCCCTCGGCCTTGCGATTGGCTCCTGACTGGGGAAGCTTCCTGGTTGCCCTGGCAGCCGGGGGGCGGTCCTGGGTTCCCTGTGTATATAAAGCTGGTCAGAGCCTTGACTCATGGCTGAGTTATTATGTCAGGCCGAGAAAGTGGGTCGGGAGAGGAACCCCTTGGCAGGGACGAAATATGTCCAAAATGGCAGTACAAAAGGGTAATCCAAATAGAGTAGTCAAGTCCAGTTCCGGGTCGTGGCAGGCAGCGAGAGTCGTTGGCAAAGGGTCGGTAGCCGGGAAGTCAGATCAATAAACAGATTGAATAGAAGGGGAAATCCTCCGCACACCTTGAAGCAATCAAGGCCTATGAAGACAATGGTGCTTGTAGTGATGAACACGGATGGCACCGTGCAGACACAATATAGGAAAAGGAATTGCCAGCACTCAGTAGAATAATCCAACATGTTCATTTATTGGACATAGATGTCACACAATCACAAGACCACGCAGGGTCTCTTCATCAGGGTGATGAAGCAAAGAAATTGTCACTCTTTATGCCCTGATGAAGAGACCCTGCGTGGTCTCGAAACGTTGGCTCTTGTGATTGTGTGACGTCTATGTCCAATAAATGGACATGTTGGATTATTCTACTGAGTGCTGGTGATTCCTTTTACTAGATCAATAAACAGGTTCACAGGAGGGAGCTGTGTGTTCACCATGAGGTAGAATAACTCAGCAATGAGTCAAGGCTCTGACCAGCTTTATATACACAGGGAACCCAGGACCGCCCCTGGCTGCCAGGGCAACCAGGAAGTTCCTCAGTCAGGAGCCAATCGCAAGGCCGAGGGCAGTTGGTGAATGCTGCAGTCTTCCCCCAGCCTGAGTAGCACCTGGAATGTGGGGTGGCGCAGGTGCACTACAAGAACGCTTCCGGGCATGCACGTGCGGCTTGCGTGCCGCGCACCCAGCGCGCGACTTGCACATGCGCACCGGCCACACGAGCGCCAGATGCCTTGCCAGGAGGAGGAGCCCGATGCCCGTGCCGGCGAGCCTGGTAAGGAACGGCCCCCTGGGTCCCTGGCAATGACCTAGATCCCCTCTTCAGGCCATATACAATTGTATATGGCCTCCTGCTAAGTCTTCCAGAAAGCTTGCATCTTTAATAACTGTGTAGTTCCATCTTCGCAGCCAAATTCATGAAACCCTCACCGAATGTTTGTATTCCCATTCACACAGCATACCTGAAATATTGTTTACCTTTCTAGTTTCTTTGGAGCAGGATTGGCTCTACAGGCAGCTTGAAGTTTTCAGAATAACTGGCTCAACAGTATACTTTATGGACAGGTTTTTTTTTTAACATACAATGTGCCACCCAAGCCTTGAAAACTTTAACCCTTTGCAAGGACAGACAGTGTGCATATCTGATAATAAGATCTGCCAGCATAGTTCAGACATGGTTAATTATGGTAAACATGACTCCCCAGAAAGCAAAAGCTGAGTAAGATTTACAATTTTGTTCATCAAATTAAAAGATGAGCAGTCTTTTTTAAATAGATTAGGTTATGCTATGTAATGGGAATGTAACATACAGTATATAATGAATGTGTAGAGCCAAAGGAAATCTCACCACTCCAATTCCCTAGCCGCTATTAGGACTTCCCAGGTGCTAGTGTAATAGGTGCGTCTCCACCTTGGAATGTTGTAGTATACGAACAGACCGCACTATCCAGAGAATTCCAATACTTCAGACTTTATTGAAATTCACTGCAAATCCAGTGTATAAAGCAACAAATGCCAGCACAGCACACCCCCAACCAGCTACAACCTCTCACATGTTTCACCCGTAGGCTTATTCATAGAGGTAACAAATACGGGCCAGTATCTCACTTAAATGTGTTCATGTGTAGGGTGGAGGTTTTTTTTAACACATTTAAGTGAGATACTGGTCTGTATTTGTTACCTCTATGAATAAGCCTGCGGGTGAAACATGTGAGAGGTTGTAGCTGGTTGGGGGTGTTCTGTGCTGGCATTTGTTTGCTTTATACACTTGTAACATACGGGGGTTTTTTTGCCTTCCTCTGGATCAACAGGGGGTAGCTGTGGTCATAGCTTTCTGTTTAGGTTGTCTTCTCTTTTTTTTTTCATATCTCTATAGGTTGAACTCGATGGACATGTGTTTTTTTTCAACCTGACTAACTATGTAACTATGTACACTGGATTTGCTGTGAATTTCAATAAAGTCTAAAGTATTGGAATTCTCTGGATAATGCGGTCTGTTCGTATACTACTAATATAATGAATGTGGCTGCAAAAGTGGCAATACACATAAGTTAGCCAATAAAGGGTATCACTTAAACTCAAAATGTTTGCATTAATCAATGGCCAACATCATACAATGGCTAACATCATGCAATACTCTACTTTTGAATTGCAACCCAAAAATAGCATTTCACCACAACACCCCAACACATAACCCTTAAATGATCACCTGAGTATCCCACAGTTGCAGTAATATGCCTCTCCAAATCATTACACAGTTGGCACTAAAAAAATGATTCTGTTTAAGTAGCAAGACCATACAATGGAAAAAAGTATTATTTGAATCTCCCTTTTAAATTATTTTTATTTTTTCTAAACATGTTTTGCTCATGAGATTCTAGAAACAACATTTGTCATCGCAGACGTCTTCCTCTTTTAGCTAGTTTTCAACTGCAGATAAAACAACAAAATCAGTGACTGGTGTATTAAATTATTAATTCATTGTACTTACCAGCATAATTAGGTTTGAAATAATGAGTAGTAAATTTACTTTTTTAACCGTTCACTGTTCTGAAGTCTTATCTAATGTGTTTTTTTTTTTAACTCCTTTTAATACAGGTTAGATGGGGTCTGGCCCGAAGGCTTGTTGTCTGTCAATAATACACTATATTTCAGCTACCCTGTAACTCATAATGTTTCTGGGATATATGTGTGCAGAGTGACCAATGCCCTTGGTCAGAAAAGTGACCAAAAGATCATCACTGTTTTAGGTGAGTTGATGTGTTTTGTGTTTATTTATCTTATATTTCTGTAGTACATGTATACTATGCAGCCCTTTACAGAATGGTTGTGGGAAGAATCCAGAAGAACAAAGTGAACTTACAAATTCAAGGGGACAGTATTATTGGTGGGATTAATTTCAAGCTTGGACCCAGTGCTTTATGCTCCTGTTAGGGCTTGGAGTACATAGGCATTTATTTGTGTTACAACTGATGTGCCCACCTTGCAAGTCAAAGGGAATTTTAAAGTTCCTTGATGCAGCAGGAGGAAATCAGGAGCAAGTCAGAAAGAGAGGAGAATGATTTCAGAAGCTTGATCTGGAATGCAAGCTCAGTTCGTCTGAAAGCATGCTGCATTTGCCTCTCTAGACAAGTTCTTAGATTCAGCTGGTGCTGCTGGGTATAGTTTGGCCTGTGAAGCTGTAGATTGTTTCCAGGTTATAGTATATAAGATTTTTGATGGTTGGATAAGTCTGGGATCTTATAGGCAATGGGAAGTAAAGCTATTTTTTAGCATTTTGTTCAGCAGTTCTACCAAACATAATATACTGTAGTAAGTTAGTTTGTTTTTTGTTCTTTGTGGTAGAATGAAACTGCTTTGGGGTGTAAAATGATGCACCTAAATCAAAAGTCCTCTGGGTACATATGGTAGTTTGGGTTGGCAGTAAAGGAAGACAAAAAAGTGGCACAACACCACCAACAAGTTTTCAGATTTTGCAATGTTGTTGTGGGCCCAATTATTTCCTGTATAAGTGGTTTCCTATGTATCTATTTATGAATATTATTTACAAAATTATCTTACCACCATGTCAGCTGCAGATTTGGCCCTCAATGTCCTTCTATTGAGGTTGTGATTGGCTCCTGGACTGTATTTCATTGTTCTAGCTATAGGCCTCAGGACAGAAAAATGTTAATAGTGTTTAATATTACAGAGATAGAATAGCATAGTGTTCCCTACTGCCCTTATAAAAGTATTCCGTTCACTGCACTGGCACATTAATTGTTGTCACTAATTTAGCTCAAATGTATCTGCACAAGCTTCTACAATGGCATTTAAAAATGTATTTGCTTACAGGTATACATTGGCAAATTCTGAATGAGAATGCCTAACATCTGATTGGTAATATATTTTTGGTATAAAAGCCTATGATTTGCTCTGTCTTTAGCCTGACATGACAAACAACAAACCTTAATTACTTTTTAGAAACTAGGGATGCATTGTGGGCCCAGATTTATCAGGAAGCCGGGCGGCAGGTCATGACCTGCCTCTCGGGTTCCTGATTGGTCAGGAAGCCAGGCTGCATAGCAACAAGTGAAACCAGCTTACTAACCAATTGGGAAGCTGGGTGGCATGTCGTGGCCTGCCTCCCGGCTTCCTGATTGGCTAGGAAGACGGCTTCATGATGTGAGGCAGCCTGTCTTCTGACCAATCGGGAAGCCAGGTGGCAAGTCATGACGGGTTACCTGATTTGGTCAGTAAGCCAGGCTGCCTAGCAATAAGTGAAGCCAGCTTCCTAGTCAATCAGAAAGCCGGGAGGCGGGTCAGGAAGCCAGGCTGCCTAGCCAATCAGGAAGCCGGGCGGTGGGTCATAACCCGACACTCAGCTTCCTGATTGGCTGGAAAGCCGGCTCCCTCGCAGCACTGCCAGTCCAAGGGATACCTTCTGACCAGAAGTTCCGGTATTGGGGCAAGTATCGGAGCATTTGGGTGAGTATGAGTACTCGCCCAAATACTCTGTATTGGCACGGATACTAGTATCGGTATAGGTGCATCCCTAATAAAAACTAAACTGGATGCCAAACCTCGTTTGGAAAGCAACGGAAACTTTCATATAAGGATTATTGAAAAGTATTTATATCTTTTTTTTTAATGTAAAGGCAACTTCAATTTTAGGGTTTATGAAACCTGTCAGGATAGAAATATAGGAGCTGTTATTTCAGACTTGTCTTTCAAGGGTATCATTTAGATCTGGCTTTACTCCTTAGTGAGTTATAGACTTCTGGTTGCTTGCATGTTCCAGTTCAGTGACTTACTAGGTAGGTAAGACAGAATCAAGATGACAGCCCCTCACTTTAGAAAGCATGTCCACCATATGTCCCCAGACTTATTCTAAGACTGAAAAATAAAAGAGTGCTGCCATATTTTGGAACAGTTATTATTTCTGAAGTGGATTTCAGAATAAGAGCTTGCTGAGTATTGGCATATAATACAGAGGAAGTGCACTATTAATCACACTGGAGCAGCAACACAGAGAAAAAAAAAGTCATTTTAAGCCAGGAGTGGACAAATTAATATGGAATTCTGGAGCCAGGCTGTTCAATCCAGCAGTATATATATATTTTTTTTTAGGAGAGCCTCAAAAGGTAGTCGCCAGCTGTATTTTCTAAGGAGAATTGGCTACCTGGCACCTGGGATTTGTCCATCCCTTTCTTAAGAATAGTGTCAATGCTCAGGCCAAGATGCAAGAAATGTTGTTGGATATGCTTGTGAAATTTTGTCATTGATGTTGGTATTTTGTGATCTCATGATGTTTATCTTACCAATATTGTTATGGTATCTAGAAATTTCTGCACACTACTACTGTGCGTATTGTAACCTTTGCTAAATTGGGGTGTGTACTAAGAGCAGTAGGGGCCACTGGTGTCTACAGTAGTGATGGCCATAGACTTTTATACCTCTTTCAGTGTGGACACTAGAGAGAATGGCTTTGAAGTAGTTTATTTTATAATTGTTGTGATTCCAGTCGTTTTACTATGTGAAGTAACAAAATGATCTCTTGCATATAAACTGTATTTTTGCATACAACCCACCTACTGAGTCATATAATGCTGATTCTGGCATTCATTTTTGTACCTTCTGTACTCTCTGTGCTCTCTGTACGTCTGTGGGTTATGAGCATCCTCATCTTCATAATAGCCCTGTAGCTTTTATGACGCAGGCAAGAATTTTCCATGCTACCATTTTTAGTCTTTGCTCCCAAAGTAGTTTACAGTCTGCTATTCCTAACATGGCCATAATCACACCCACACATATTTAGGATCTATATCAGTAGAAGTCAGTCAACTTACCAGCAGGTTTCTAAATTATAGGCGAAGGTCAGAGAACCCTGAGGGGAGAACCAAACAAACTGTATACAGGTGTAATACTTCGAGGAAATTGCACCTGGGGCCCTACTGCAGCAAAGCATGAGTGCTAACCAGTCAGCCATCATGCTGCATATTAAATATGCTGAACAGATAATGAACATTTAGATGTTTTTTGTATTTGATGTAGATCCATGCAACAAAAATATATTTAAATGATAAATATACATTCCTAAATACCTGTTATATGTAAATTGCATACCTGGTGGAGGCCACCTTCCCTTACACCTTCTGTTCAATACTTCCTGGAGTTGGTGGCAGGGTGTAGCAAAATGGGGAGTTGCTTGGGTGGCTGCATTGGGTCTGTACATAGTGAATGATCTGGTGACAGTCTGGATACTGCTGCAGTGCTTTTATCTGGTGACAGTCTGGATACTGCTGCAGTGCTTGAGAGGTTTAAAATGGATCTGTGCAAATTGCTGCTTCACATATCAAACGGAGGAACTCACAGGAGCAGGAAGTAGAATCGAGTCAGCAACAGTCAAGCAGCAGAGGTACCAACTCTGAAATCAAAAGCAAACTCATAGTCCAGGCCAAGGTAGAGATCAAACGGGCAACAGAGGTACAAAGACAGAAGGCAAAGTCAGGACACAAGGCAAGGTCAGTAGCAGGAGATAAGAGTACAAACAAGAGTCATGGAACTTTGCAAACGTTGGGATTGGCAAAGGCTTACACACACCCATTGCTGCCATAGGACAGTGCTTGGGACTGGTGATAGCTCACTCAAGCTCCAAGCAGTGACACAGTTGAAGGGGTAGTAAGAGGGGAATCATTTCAAGGTAAAACTTTGCACCTTATGTTGTCCTTGGCATCCAGGAGGAATATTAGTTTAGAAGTGTCAGTCATAGTACAGGCTTGGTTTAATTTTCACTTGTTTCAAACTATTACATTACTGGCATAGTTTACCAGCTAGCATCTTGTCACCCATGGCTTATCAGATTGTCCTAAAAGCATTATGGGAATTGTAGGACTTTAGCTATTGTTACCTAAAAAAATGCATGCGTATTCAAAGCTGTGTGGATGGAGAAGGATACATTTTCCCAGTGGAGAAGGGATGAGATTATCTCCCAGTTGTAATTAAAATGGTATTTAATTCCGGGATAAAATTAGAACCATTGGTCCATGAATAAATGTGAATATGTTACTGTCTCCTGAAAGTCTCAATTATTTAGCAGTAGATTCATGACATGCTTGAAAAAGAATCTTTCATGCTTCCCTTGTAACATTAGAAGGATTACATTATTACATAGCCTTTTTGTTAGTATCCATTTCCCAAAGTTCTCTTATGTTTTATATATGCTTCGGTATATTTATTCTATGCAACGTTTATTTAAACCGCATGCACCATGTATATATGGAATGGCCACATAATGTGGAAAAACACTTAACCATTTCTTTAAAAAAATACTGCTGGTAACTGACAGGTAAACATGGTTTAATGGTAGCTAACCAGGAAGAAACATTTTAGATTTTAGGTTAGCACTTTAGCTTCTCTTAAGTTCCAAAAAGTAGACAAAAATTTTAAGCTGACGTCTGGTCAGCATACAAAAAACAGCATGTGGGTTTGCTGAAAATTAGCCAAAAAAGGCCAACCAGGTGGATATTATCACGTGCCTGTATGCTAATTTATTACGGATTTCTGTTTTTAGATAATATTTTGCTTGTTTGTTGGATTTTTTTTACAGTGGCACTTCACCTACAATTTTGCGTGCTCTGGAAATGTAAAATATATCAGTAGCACTAATTATTTTCTTTTTGTGCTATCTAAGCTAACCTATGTCGTGTTTATGTTTTATAATTACATTTCCAATCTTACTAATCCCTCCTGATATTCATATATTTGATAATGATAATGGCTGCAAAATACAAAACCTAAATATTTGGGTGCACAGATCAGCTTTTTGTGTTTGTTTTTTTTTAATCTGACTAAAAGCTTTGTTTAACTTTTAGTATTACTATGTGTAGATTAATTCTCTGTAATATATATATATGTATATATTTAGTAGATAGATAGATCTATCTATCTACTATATCTATATAATCTAGAGAGTTTGGGTGAATATTTGACACAGTGCTGTGGGTAATATTTGACTTTGCCCTTACAGTTCTTAATTGGCACCAAATTCAAAATATAACCATGTTTTCTGAAATTTATATAGGCAGGAACTGGATTGTAATGTTAAACATTTACACAGCTTGCTTTTATTACTTATGCAACAATTTCAAAGTTCTGCTACACCGTACTACTCACAAAAGGTAACAGGGGCCTGCTGGGTTCATTGTTAGTGTCTGTGCTCAAATGTGCCTTATCATTTTCTAGGCAGCTACACACCAATGGCAACCTTTCATAGTTTGGAATTATCAGTCTGATTTTAGCATTAGAAGCCTCAGCATGTTATAATTATTTCAGCTTCACAAGCAGAGCAAAAAATGTTGGCACTGTTTGTTTGTTGTTTGTTTTTTCCCTTAAAGTTACACTAAACTCAGGAGTAAAACCTTAAAGATGCATTCAAGTGACTTAACTATTAACAAAAATGTGTTTATTCATTTATTACAGTCATTTATACAGCACTGACAATTTGCACAAAGCTCTAGTAGCTGAACATTCACATCGGTGCCTGCCCTCAAGGAGCTTACAATCTAAGATCCCTATCTCACATACATACATGCAGGGCCGATTTAGACAGGACCCAATTACCTACCAGCATAGCTTTGGAGTGTGGGAGGAAACCGGAGTACCCGTAGGAAACCCATACAGGCACATGAAGAACATGCAAACTCCTTGCAGATAATGTCCTGATCGGGATTTGAATGTAGTCTATTTGTGTATCACTCAGCTGTAGATCCTCAAATCATCTCTGAATTCATGTGGACACTCTCCTTCCTTCTGGAGGGTGGCTACTTTTGTACCCCATGGTCCCTGTGTGTGTTATAAAGTAGCCACCACTCCAAACTTGTTCCCATGATAGACTACAATCTCAATACAAATGAGTAAACTAAACATGAGATTGGAGTCCATCACGGGAGCGAGCTTTGAGTGGTGGCTGCTTTACAAAACACATAGGGACCATGGAGAACAAAACTAGCCACCCTCCAGAAGGAAGGACAATGTCCGCACCAATTTAGAGATGATTCCAGGATCTACAACTGAGCTCACATTGAGCAACAGCGTCTTCGTGCATAGAAACGCGCATTTGTGTAGCACGTTCTTGCACGTAAAACGTGCATACATACAGTCACGTGTCCATTGAATCTATAGGGCCAAGAAGCACAGAATCTGCCAGGAAAAAGCTCATGTACTTTCTTTAAGTGACGGGCGTTTTGGCACAAGCGACAAAACGCTTAGGTGTGAACATGGCCATGGAAGTGAATGGGGTCTCTGGGTGGGGGTTGGCATTTTTTTCTGCGTTTTTTTTTAGCAGAAACACAAATTGCTCAGTGTGATTAAGGGCTTAGTGATACACAAATAAGCTACCTTTTTGTTAATAGTTGGGATACTTGAATGCATTTTTAAGGTTGAGTTTAGTGTCACTTTGAGACTTGAAAAAGTGAAGGAGATATTTTGTAGTGTAAAAAAACAAATACAAAAGAATACATCTTTAAAAGTAACCAATTTTCAGTATGCCTATACAGTATATAATCTATGGTCACAGGCTCATTTAAGTTAGGCAGCCATTTTTACGAACATTGCATGTTTTAGAGTGCACTTATTAATGAGCCCTTCCCTCACTGAAGGGATTGAACAGAGCGTAGTATTATTTTTGGCTCACCTCAGCCTTAACCACTGTCTGGTGAGGGGAATATATTTTTGGTGTCATGTTAGTTCCATCATGACAAGGAATTTGTATAAAGGATTGTGTTTATACAACCATCCAGGTAAACATCAGGAAACACAGCATATGGAGGTTTTTGACAAACGCCTATTTGTCACATGTCAAGTGTTAGAACGATCACTTCAAATTACCATGTTTTTCAAGAATCTTAATGTGAAGCTATTGACTAAAAGCACTTCATTGTAAGATTTTTGTCTTATTTTAATAGTCACAGTAAAGAAAAAGTTATAGTTATGTAGCTCATTGGAGCCCATTTTAATGTCCAGTTGAGTGGCATTGGTTACTCTTAAGTCTTAGTAAGGAAATATTTAGGATGAACTGGCCAATCTGCATCTTTTCCTAAACACAAGTCCTTAGTCCTGTCTAAATTAAATTTACAGACTAAATAATACACTTAAGCGCTCTTAACTTTAGATTGTAAGTTCCACTAATATAGCCAAAATGAATACCTGTGAAAAAAAAAATATTTGGGGGGAATTTATCAAAGCAATTGTGCTTTAGCCTCTTAGATCATTTTTTTTATGGGCAAAGCTGTTTAGCTGCTCCTTTTTAACATGTGCGCCCGTTTTGACCAGAGCTTACACTATTTTCCCAAATGCGCCTGTTTTGCACCTGTTTTGCTGAAGTTCGCGACTGTTTACATCTGCGATTGTCCTGCGGCTGTCTGAGCCTGGAGCTTTATTTAACAAAACAATCGCTTTTTAAGAAGTTCCCAAGACCACTTCAAGAAGAGACGGTTAAGCTTTTTGCCTGGAGTTGCGAGTCTTCTTTCCTGGAGTCTATTTAAACTCATTTATGAACAACCTTAAACTAGCAACATAAACCTGGCGCAAATATATCCCATGTAACCATATGCGAGTTCAACACTCGCAATTGCTATGATAAATTCCCCCAATTGTGTTGCAGCTTGGTATTTCATACATACCTTTGTGTTCATTGTCATTATCAACACTGTTGACTAGTGTAATATTAACATTATTTTTCCTTCTCTTTCTGTCTACTCCTTACATTAGATCCTCCTGCTACTACTCCTCCTCCTACAAGTCCACAGACCCATTCATCCATTGACATTGCAGGCTTAGCAACGACTTCCAGAAAGTTGAATATACCAGTTTCAACCATGGCAACCATGCAGGATGGAAACTTTGGCACCATTATTGGCAGCGTTGTAGGAGGTTGCCTGTTTTTGATCCTTATCATTGTGCTATTTGGAGTTATCTACCATAGGAGGAAACAGACGTTTCGAGGTGATTATTTTACTAAGAGCTACATTCCTCCATCTGATATGCAGAAGGAGTCTCAGATCGATGTGCTCCAACCTGAAGATCTTGACCCGTTTCCTGACAACCTGAAAAAGGAAGTTGACATTAAAAGCAATGATCATATGTACAATGAGTATCTTCACGATGATAATGCTGACTGGAACCATATTGTTAGCTATAACAGATATCAGGAACAATTTGACAGACCAGTCAACAACTTTACTGACAAAAACATGCCTATAGTTTCAAGGTACAATCAGAACTTCGACAACGAAGATGATTTGGTCTCACATGTGGATGGTTCTGTTATATCCAGAAGGGAGTGGTACGTGTAGAGACTGCAGCAATTGAACTGTGTATTCAGCTACATGATTGTCAAAGTGAAATTTCTGATTTTTTTTTTTTTTTTTTTTATTCATACCCATTTACCATGTCTTGAAATGAATTTATACAATAGGGTTTCTCAAACCTCCGCTCAACACAGAGTATGTAAATAAGATTTAGCTTTGAATATTTGATTTGGTAAAATAACGGTTAAGAAATCTCAAAATCCCTATCTATGAAGGATGTACATGATGGTCTGGCACTAGTTCAGTAGATATGTTGTCACGTGCTATACCAAACCGCAGCTAATAACATTTCAGCTTTGGCTAGTTTGAGAGCTAAAGTTTCATTGGATGTCATATGTTATAGCAGTACTATTTGCACCATGATATTCATAGGCCTTATAGCTCATTAAATTACCTCAATGGTACAGCAAGATTTAGTGTATTTTATCAAATAAACTCATATTCATTAGATTTTCTGCCACGGCTTTGGAAATGCTTAAAAAAATTGCTGCTATCAATTCAATGCACAGTACTGTACTCAAATTGTGTTTTAGATGAGCACTTAAGCAAATGAAGACATTTAAAATGCTTTGTTACGTTCAAGGCTGCAGTTTATTTTTGTAAGGTATTTTTTAGCAGTTTTCTACTTTTTATTTTTTTCTACAGCTCCGATAAAGTGCTGTTCTGCATTTCAGAAAAAATATACATGTTTTATGCTGTATAATATGCCAATACCCACTTTATGTAGATCAGAATGGTTTTTTTTTTTTTTTTTTCTGCATATATTTCCGTTGACACTTTTTGATAAGGAGTTAAAAAATACATTGTTTTTGGTTTGTAACCAAAAAATACATTTGGTCTCATCACCAGAAATCTGTTGCATTCATCGTATTTTAAGGCAAATTATTTTCCAGTGTTTTGCACTTGACCATCCTGTTTCCGTTTGCAGAGTGGTGTTTGTTGGAAATGTTGACGTCCTACTGACAAGTTAAAGTGCACCTGTCATGAACATTATAAGAGTCAGCGATTATTGTAAGCTGAATCGACGTCTAGAGGAGTGCAGCTTCTCACTTCACTAGTCTTAAAGGCCCACTGAATATTAGCTATGACTTATTGCTGTCATGAGTTCTGACTGAAATGAATCATTGTGCTCTCATGTATATTGCTACATCCCTTGAGATATCTGCTTGTGGTGTGTAGGTGACGGGTGTTCTTTGAATAATATTTTGCTGCTTTTACTTTTAATATGTACATATTGTCAAGGTAACATTATGGTGTCAACACATAAAATGGAGCATTTGTGATTTAAAATATACCATGCTTAAATGGTAATACAAAGGCAATGATCAGATTTCAGTTAGGTGCAGTCAGATAGATGGACAGTTTGGAATTGGTCACTATCTGTTGCTGCATTTTGCAAAATTGCCTTAAATAATGGCCTCTATAATAAAATAATCAGGTTTTTCTATGTAACCATTATTGAGGGTATATGCTGACAATGTGTTATTCTTTTCTATGCTGGCAAAGCACAAATTAAAGTTTGTTATCTTAAAACTATATGCCAACTTAATAGATGTCACCATTGTAAAGCAGGTACCTTCTGACTACTGTATATTTATCTCACCCCACCAATAACTAGGGCACCAGTCAGAAATTTAAGGTGCAGTAAAATCTGATTGTTTTAAAAGGCTTCTTAAATGCATCATGCATGAAGCATCTAGATGTTACTGAAATGCTTTCTTTTAGATGACTGGCTTTCCTACATAAACAAATGTACTAAAAAGTGGAGTATAAAGAGCAGTTGTTTTGTGTAAAATTAGCTAACCCACAGCAACTAGTTAACAGACTACTTTATAGCTTAACTGGTTGCTATGGGTTACTGCACATTGATTGTTATAATAATAATGCTCTTTTTTCCCTTTTACGTAACCTTTATTGTTCTATTTATTTATGGTATTAATAGTATAGACTGCAGAATTTATGGAATTCTAAAAATACAAAATAGTGTCTTCTCATGTCACTCAACAAATTCCCACCCCACTGCAAGCAATAATTTGAAAGTTAAAGAACTCTAGGTACAGAATTTGAAAGGTCTTGATGCCCTTAGGGTACTTCTCTTTAAAACTCCGTAACAGCTCTATTTAATCACTTTGAACGTTAACAATATGTCCTAAAAACAAGTATGTATTACTTGTATGTATTTATCTTAAAGTGTATTTCCACTTTTGCAGTCAAATTGGGATAATACCTACTTTTATGTTTGTTACATGTTCCCTTTCACATAGCATAAATTGAAAACATGTTTAAAAAGTGCTACTTACATTTTTAAGTGCTTTTTACTTGCTGAAAAAGCCTACCTAGCCTACCCCTATGTAATGTTAAGGCAGGGACTGTGGGAAAATAATGTTTATTATACTTAACCCTGTCTACACTGGGCTGGCAGATTTCGTTATCAGTTGTAAACAAGATTTTAATAATGTCTGTCCTAACTAGGGACAGACTCGCTTTGAAATTGTTCAGAGTAGCTTACAGTCTACCTAGAAGCCTGCTTCAACATCTAAAATATAAATATTTTTTTCTTTAATATACTGTTAACACATAACAAACAAATAGTGTTTTTGTTTTTTTTATTTGAGTGCAAACCTGGAAATGCACTTTAAGTAACGACAAAGTTATCACCAATTAAGCCGGCCCATAGTGGAAATGTATACATTGCTCTACTCCATATGGTACAAGTGCTGAAGGTAGTTACTTACTCTTTTTCTGGAAAAACCTGTTGGTACTCTTCCACGAAAAAAAACAACACAATTTTCTCTAAAATAAGTCATTGACATCCATCATTGTTTTCCAGAATTTGATTTAAATCAGATTTTAATTTTTGATTCGACAAAATATTTTGAATAAAACAAATGGCATGGACAAAATTTATGGGACCCTTACCCTAATATTTTATTTCACATCATGTTTTAGCTCTTTCCATAGATGTTTGATAGGACTCAAAGTAGGGCTCATGGAAAGCCACTTTATAATAGCCCAATGTTTTGTCCTTGGGTGCTTTTATCCTTGTTTGTTTTGGGTCATTATCCTGATGCAGGACCCATGACCTGCGACTAAGACCGAGCCTTCTGAAACTAAGCAGTATGTTTTGCTTCAGTATTCCTTTATAGTCTTGAGATTTAATTGTGCCCTTCACAGATTCCCATGCCTGAAGCAGGAAAATAGTCCCAAAACATAAACAAGCCACCTTCTATGCTTCACAGTAAGGATGAGCTTAGGTTCCGGACTGAGCAGGGTCTAAATCTGAGCTCCTCAGAACCTGGAAAGAAGCTCCTTACGCTGCTGCCTAATCAGCCGCAGTCAGGGAATTAATTTGCAAGTAAGCAAAGAACGGGATGCTGTAATGTAATTGACCTTATATGGCCACGTGGCTATAGTTGGTCAATGATATTGAAGTATCCCCCCCTCCTTTGTTTATGTGCAGCTGCAGGACCGGTAATGCCTCGGCCTGCAGCTGATTGGGCAGATGATTCCAACTCCCTTCTGGGTCTGGAGGAGCTCAGGTTCAGTCTGGGTGTAGACTTGAGCTTGTACCTACTTCCCAGTAGTTAGTGTTCTTTTCTTTGAAAGCTTAATTCATTCATCTGTGAACATAGTGCTGAAATGACTTGCAAAAAAGTTTTCTCATCTGTCCAAAGGACAGAAGTATTGTTTTAATTTGCATCTCTTTGGAAGTTTTCCTTGGTCTTTTGTCTACTATTCACACTATCCATCTGTTCCTCTTGCGGCCATGTCCAGAAAGGTTGGCTACAGTCCCTAAACTTCTTATTAATAATTGCAACTGTAGTTATAGGAACAGCAAGCTGTTAGAGATGTTCTTATAGCCTTCAGCTTTGACATGCTGTTCTGAAATTTCCTTTCTGATCTCCTCAGACAACTCTCCATTGCTTTCACTGGTTCATGTTCAGTGTGGTACACATGAAGCTAACTAACAGTAGAATTACTACTTTTCTCCATTTAAATATGCTGACTAATTAAAAGATTGAAGACATATGATTCCAATAACAAAAAAACTGTTGGTTTGAGATATCACTATGCTCTAATTATTCTAATCTTTTCTAGGGGTACCAACAAATCTGCCCAGGCCATTTAATATATCTTTTTAGAATAAGCATTATTTTCACACTTTCTTTGCTTTAAGATGGCCACACACTGTTAAATTCACTAGGCAGAATGAGAGAAATGAATAGATTTCCCCATCCATGCTTAAAAGGTTATTATACCCTCAGTGGTTTTTGCATATATCTTCTGCTAGCAAGCAGTAGATATACAAAACAATTAAAAAAATAAAACTTTTCCAAAGAGTTAATACTTACCTGTGTTTCTTTTAGGTGTTGCAGAGAAATACAAACAGTGCATCACAGACAAAAGATCATTTGGTGACCCCTAAAGGAAAATGTACCTTTTTATATACAGTATCTAATTTATGCATCACAAGATTTCAGCTTTGCCTTTTTTATTTACTCATCCCACAATATCAAAATATAACAACATATGTTCTATCTGCGATAAACAATTTCTTCCATCTCTGTTCCTTTTACATACACTAACAGATGTGGTAACATAATGAAGTGTATAGAGTAGCCCTAAGCAGATACTCATGGTAACCCATCAGAAGTTAGACACAAAAATCTGGTGCTGACGCATTGTCTTCTTTAGAAATGTAATGTTTGCTTTAACAAACAAACAAGTGCAATGTTTCAGAGGATCCACGCAGGATTCCTTAACCAGTGAGCAGATTACTTTAAGTTGGATACTGACTGCTTGTTATAAGCCTCATTATGCCACTGCTCTCTGCAATTGTTATTAAAAGAAAGTTGGCAGGATGTCTCTTACCTTTCAGAATTGAGGCTATTACCTCCAGTACTAAAGGCTGTCATTGCATGACTTCCAGAGATGGCGCTAGTTTTTAGGGCACAGCACAGCTCTACCGCATCATTAACGAGGGAAGTAGAACTACTTCCACGAAGCAGGCAATTTGTCAGCCTCCAGCACTGGGTGGTAAACCGATATTTTATTGTAATAGATTTGTTTCCTGTTTAGCCAAGTTGGGTCAATATCTCCCCTTTTAAGACAGAACCTGGATTTAATTTATATTTTCTTACATTCAGTGGGTATCTTTAACTCAACCCTAAAACTAATGATGGTGTATATCTATAAAAGAGTGAAATAATAAAAGAACAGCAACACCATTTAGAAATGGTGATTTACACAGCCATGCCAGACAGTATAGCCAGTCTGGAGACCTGACCTTTGGTTGGTATCTGTCTCCTGCCTGTGGCTGGACAGTAAAGCAGAGGCAGCAGAATGGTAAACTCCACTTTGTCACTGTTTACTCCTCCTGTCCTCATGTTCCATGTTAGCACATGAGCACTGCAGTATACCTGATTCACTTTGTCCGCTTTCCCTCCCTTACCCAGTTTGAGCTTTGCTGTAGTAGAGAATGCAAAAGGCTGGTAGCAGGTCAAATTCAAGTAGTTATACTGGTTGTTTTTAAGAGTACAGCTATGGCCTGCTCACACCAGCAGGAGCACATAATGGTGCATTGGTGTGTGTTGTGCACACGCTGCAATGCATTGTAGCAGTGTTGCAAAGTTTAAACAAAAGAAATACATTGAACTCTATGCACGACAGACATGCTGCATTTTTTACAGCGCATACCATGCACCTATATGGTGTAAACAGGGCACAT